GAGTGAGAGAGTGAGTGAGAGAGTGAGTGAGAGGTGAGAGAGTGAGTGGGTGAGTGAGTGAGAGAGTGAGTGAGTGGGTGAGTGAATGAGTGAGTGAGTGAGTGAATGAGTGAGTGAATGAGTGAATGAGTGAGTGAATGAGTGAATGAGCGAGTGAATGAGTGAGTGAGTGAGCGAGCGAGTGAGTGAAGGACTATAATCATTCCTTGCTGTTGTATTGTTTTGCTACTCAACTGCAGTAGTGTTCTAAAAGTTAAGTGACAGACGACCACAAATATAGAAGCTCTGACTCTGCCCAGTGTTTTTAATGACTTCACCTATACATTGACTTTCATTTCTCTGAGGCAGGACACAGGATAGAAGGGAGGGAAGGTCTATTTTGGCTCATGAGGACTTCAGTCCCTCAGGGTAGGGGAGACACGGTAGCACATCTGGGCCCCTGGCAGTGTGAGGACAGGCGACAGAGACCATTTCACATCAGAAAGTAGAGTGTTAATCCCACCAAGTGAGCCCACTACCACAGTTTAAAGCCCATTTAAAGCAAGCTTTAATTAAATACTGGTCATTGGGTGGGCTCTAGGAAATGGCCCAGAATCAAGTATGGCAAGGGTGTAAGAAGGAAAACCCATAGTTCATTGCATTTCCCATCGGGTCCAATCAGGGCAAGCATATCTCCTGACTATTTCCTGCCTGTGAACCTCCCGCTCACGTGTGGTCAAGCACATCGGTGCAGATGGGTCAAACAAACTTGTTTAGGGGAGTGAAAACCCTGTGGCTTGTTATCTCCCATAAACAACAGCCTCCAGCATTTCAGGAACTATCTGTCCTTGGGCAAGGGGCTTGAAGATCAGGGGCATTTTGTTTCATGGATCTCTTAGGCATAATAATTAAAACTTAAAATGTAACTTTGGCTCTCACAAGTGCAGCAAGAATCATGGGTATAACCTTCAGAGGTTAATCTTCATTGTCAACATGGCTGGATCTTTCTTTTACGTTTATTTATTTATTCATATGTAAAAGTGTGCGTACACGCATGCATGCCTGTCACAGCATACATATGGAGACCAGAGGACAACCTGTGCAAGTCAGTTCTCTCCTTACACCACTTACACCATGTGGGTCCTAGAGACGAAGCTCAGGTCTTCAGGCTTGGCAGCAAGCACCTTTACCCACTAAGCATCTCACCGGCCACTTAACTCTATTGAGAATCTTCATAGAAACATACTTCTCAGTGCATCTGTGGAGATGTTTCTAGAACGATTTAACCAACACAGGGAAGGCCCACCCTAAATGTGGGCAGCACCATGCCATGGTCTGTGGTCCCAGTGAAAGGAAAACATGAGCACCAGTGTTCATTTCTGCTTCCCCGTGGACACATGGCCAGCTACCTCACGTTCCTGCTATGGCATCTTCCCCTTCACTACGGACTTCCCCTCAAAGCGAGCTCCAGAAGAAACACTTCCACCCTTACCTTGTCTTTGCCAGGCATGTGGTCACAGGGATGAGAAAATAACTAATGCAGGGTCCCACCCCCAGTGGGACCTCATCTGCCAGGTACCTTCATCTTCTAAAGGTTTCACAGCCTCCAAAGTAGTGCCACAGCTGGGGAACGAGCATGCAAAATATGACCCTGTGGGGAGGGGTGCTGTCAGTGATTGTCCTCTGAGCCAAGCAACCACCATCTTAGGGAGTTCAGCTGTCCTCTCCCATAATGGATTGGCTGAAGTGGGGTGGTGTAAAGCTAACGTTTCCCAGGATGCTGTCTGTGGCATGCACACCTTGTTGTAGACGTCCCCTCATGGAAAGGGGGGAAGAGCCACAAAACCTTCATTGAGTATCCAGTCACTCTCTACCATATACTGTATGCCCCTCTGCCTTAACTGCGCATGACCTTGGGGAGGGCCACCACGGCAGAAGGGCTTTCTGGGAAAGGCTGTTCAGGTCTACTCGGGGAGGGAGCACCCACCTCTGTAAGCAACCCCTCACCTGTGTCCTATAAGGAAACCAGATAAACTCAGTGGCTCCCCAGAGTGAACTTGAGCAGAATCGTGCCTCGGTTTGTCATTGGGACTTTAGTTTTAGAAGAGTAGACTTCACTTACATCTTCCCCCTCCAAAGGGACTTTAGCAACAAGGAATATTTCAGAATCAAACCGTAACATCAGTGTGCACAATGAAGTTAAAAATAAAAAAGTAAACAGAAAGTGAACTCACCAAGGAAGTATGTAGGGCTGGAAGGAGTAACAGAGAACAGAGGGGCCTCACTGAACCTGAGCTGTAAGTCCAGCCCAGCTGCAGACCGCGGGGGCGGGCTCTTCAAAGCGCATGTCTGTTTGACATCAGTGTTGTGGCTTAAATCTGAAATGTCTCCCACAGGCTCGGGTGTTTGAACACCCGGTCCCCAGCTGGTAGTGCTGTTTGGGGAGGTGATAAGATCTTTGATACACAGGGCCCAGCTGGTGAATATAAGCCTCTCGGGCCCTGCATTGTACCTAAAATCTGTTCCCTGATGTACTGAGATGTGAACAAGCTGTGCTTCAAGTCTCGACCACCATGGCCAAGCGGCTTCAGCTCCCATGCTTTCCCCGCCGTGATGGACTGTGTCTCCTGAACCGAGAGGCCGAGCAACCTTCTCCCATGAGCTGCTTCTATCAGGGACTTGATCACAGTGATATAAAAGCGACTAATACAGACAGCCAGGCCAGTTGGCAGCAATGACAGCCAGAGAGCCAGGAGAAGTGTGCTGTGATGCCTAACAGGGAGCAGACCCAAAGGTTGCAAATGGTCAGGGAGCCCCAACCTGGCAGAGTTCAGGGAGGCCTAGCCGAGGGCACCAGGAAGATGCCCAGGCTGCCGGTAACTCACCGCAAGGCAGGGAGGACTCCAGCACCCTCGGCCCAGTGCTCCTTACAACGAGTTTTCCAGTGGAATACAGATGAAGCCTGTTGGGATGGACTCCAGACTCTCAGAGGTAAGAGCGGCTCTAGCCACGAGGTGCTGGAGAGAGAGAGAGATACACAACAAGGTATACATGCCACAGGCAGCATCCTGGGAAATGTTAGCTTTATACCCCACCCCAAGACAGAGGAATAACAGCAATGTCGTTGCTCAGTAGGTGTGGTGGTTTGAACAAGAACAGCCCCCATGGGCTCACAGAATTGAGTGCTTTGTCACCAGGGAGTGGCACTATTTGAAAGAATTAACAGGTGTGGCCTTGTTGGAGTAGGTGTGGCCTTGTTGGAGGAAGCCTGTCACTGGGGGTGGGCTTTGATGTTTTAAAAGCCAGGCTAGGCCCAGTGGATCTCTCTGTGGATCCAGGTGTAGAACTCTCAGCTACCTCTCCAGCACTATGTCTGCCTGCATGCTGCCATGCTCCCCACCATGAGGATAATGGACTACTCCGGGACTGTAAGCCAGCCCCAATTACATGTTTCCCTTTATAAGAGTTGCCATGGTCATGGTGTCTCTTCACAGCAATGGAACACTAAGACAATAGATTTCAGGCTGACTGAAGAGATACTAAGTCTCTTTCCCCTTGGATCCTTTGGAAGCAAGCTCTCTGGCCTGCTTTGGGGACCCTCTTCTCCACCCTCAGAGAAGGGAAGGATTCTCCCCTAACCCCATTGCATGACCCAAACTCCCTAGTTTGAACTGAAATTTGGGTAAGATGCCTCCTCACTGCCGGCCCCGGCTCTTCTGACAAGAGCGAGGATCTATCCTCACCCGTGCACCCTGTGCCCTGTGAGAGGCCACCCTGTCAGGGTCTATGACATATGCTTTCTGATAGTTTCCCCAAGGGTCACACTGGCCACACCCTTGGGGTTTGGCTCCCAATCTGTTCCAAGTTCCGCCAGCAAAATTATCTTTAATCAATGCTGCTCAGTCTGCAGCTTCTCCCGAGGGAATGCTGCTAGGCAGTCTGTTTCACAATCATTGGCTTCACACCAGGACCAGAGGAACAGGGTGTAGTGGAAAGAGCACCATGAGAGGCAGGAGCCCTGGTCCAGCCCTCCTGACCCTAACGAAGTAGCCTTCGTTTTCCTACTTTGTCCTTTGAAAGGGTTCAGTTGGGTAAAAGAGAAGCTATCTACAATTCACCGACTGAATGAGAGCACACACACCAGCGTGGCGCCTCGGGGTGGGCTCCCCTTAGCCACATACATGCACGTGATCCTCAACTCCTGGCCATAGATGATGTTACCAAGAGTGACTGCCCACACCTCAAACAGGGCCAGTTAACACCTTTTCCCCCAAATAATTCGGGATAAGGAAAGAAGAAATCAAGAGAGAAAGAACTCAGAAGCTGGGGATAATCATGTTCTCAACTGAGCCACCTGGAGGGTGGAAAACCCACTGAAAGGAATGGGAGAAAGAAGAAACTGGAAAGACTGGCAGACAAGAGGGGCAGAGAGCCTGGGTGCCTTCCATTCTGAATTTCAAGTCTCCCTGAAGCTGGGACCTTTGAGACTTTTTAAAGCTGTGTGTGTGTGTGTGTGTGTTCGTCTGTGTGTGTGTCTGTGTGTGTGTGTTCGTCTGTGTGTGTGTCTGTGTGTGTGTGTTCGTCTGTGTGTGTGTCTGTGTGTGTGTAGGGGGCAGTGTGTACGTGTGTGTATACATAGAGGCTGGAGGACAACTGGGCTGTCTTCCTCAGATGCTACCTATCTTGTTTTGAGGCAGGGTCTCTCATTTGCCTGGAGCTCACCAATTCAGCCAGACGAGCTGGCCAGTAGGTTCCGGAGATCTTCCTATCCCACTCCCCAGTGTTGGGATATAAGCATGCACCACGGTATCCGGTTTTGCATGTGGTCGCTGGTGACTGAGTCAGGTCCTCACCTTTCAGAGCAGTAACTTTACCAACTGAGCCATTACCCCTGCCCCAACCCCCTGAGCTGGCTTTTAAAAATGGGTTTGAGGACTCTGATCCCTCCCCTCCTGACAATTTCAAGGGAGTGAACATTAACAAGCCTGTGTCCTGCTGGTCCATCTGGCTTCCTAGACCTGCTCCACACATCTCAGCCCAGGTTCTGGTCCTCATTTGCATCTCACTCCATTCCCCACAACCAGCCCAGTGCCTTGGCCACAGTAAGTGTTCCGTCGACTCATGTCAGGTTGAGACAGAGAAAATCCAAAGCTATCATTCCTCGGTGAGGTGTGTTCCTAGGAGCTAGCTGACCACTCTTCCCTCCCTGTACAAGGTTGTTCATAATGGATCCATGACCCCGCATAAGGCCAGGACTCAACCCCTGATGCAGCCAGCCCACAGCTTCCCAAGTTTTATTTTTATTAACCCAACTGGAAAGTTGGACTTCACTCAGGGCTGTGCCGCAAAACAGATGCTGGAGCTGGGCTCTGGTTTCCTAGATAAACACATTGCGATAATATGCATCTACCCGTGAAATGCTCTCTGCGGCGGCACGTGGCAGCTCTCCAGAACAAAGAAAAACAGTGTCAACGCTACATTTGAGGCTTCTTACTCCCCTTCCTGGCCAGAGGCTCCACTGCGGCTAACTCCCTCCCGGCTGGCTCCCCTTGTCCTCTCCGCCTCTGGCCAGGAATTTAACAACTTTGAGAAAGAACACTAGGCTTTCCTCTATTCTCTTGTCTTGATCAAGGATCTTCCCCTGCTCTCCCGCCATGCCCTTCGTGACCTCCAGCCCAGCATGAGGAGACACTGTGTACTTCAGTTTGCCAGGTGTGTCTGCCTCCTGCAGAGAAGCAGGAAAGCTCCCCGAGGTTAGGAACAGGCCTGGTACATGTTGTCATGCAGTGCCCAGAAATGGCCCTGGCACAGAGACAGTGGACAAAGTGGCTAATGTTGCTGAATGAGTGAATACTAGTGAGTCACATTAGCTGAAGCCAGGGAGGGAGGCACGAGATTCAAGAATGTGCCCTGGGTGTCCTCCAGCCCATGCTGGGTGTGGGGACCCAGGGATCACCACACATCCCAGCCCCCAAAGTACTGCCATCTATAAAGAAAATAAGGTAGCAAAATAAGGGTTTCTTTCCCCTCACGTCTCCCCACTATCCTTGTGACAGGAGTCTCTGGGTAGTCATCAGTGAGTGGAAGAAACTGTTAGCAGGAAAACCCCAACCATGGAGGGCAGTCGACAGGAGGAAAAGAATGATGGACTGTAGCTCAGGGATCAAGAGCTCTTGCCTAGCATGTGCAAAGCCTTGGGAAAGAAGGAGGGGAGGAGGGGGTGGGAAAGCCATCCTGAATCAGCAGATGCAGCCCCTGGACCAGAGCAAGGAGATGGGGGAGGAGGAGAATGGCTTGTCCTGTGGCTTCTTCCCTCTCACTGTTCTGAAAGACATTAAGCCCCGAGACCTCAGGATATGACACCAAACAGTCCTCAATGAAGTTGAGATTCTGAAAAGGCCAAGGAGCACACGGAGGAAACACAAGATCACGAGGGAGGCAAGGGGGACTCCTAGTCACCTCTCCAAGGCTGCTTGCCTAGGAACTGATGAATGAATGATAGAGTGGGAACATCATGCGCGGCGGCGGTGGCGGCGGCGGTGGTGGCACCCTCCAGACTCCTCAGGTGTCCATGGGGGAAGGGTTACAGACATCCTCCAGCTTGGCACATACAAGTACCCACAGGAGCCCAGAGAGCAGGGCAAGTATGTGAGAGGAGCTCAAGAAACATTTGCCCCCTGCCCTGGGTCCAGGTCCTGTCACTGTCTCCCTCGTTCATGTTCGGGGTCTCTCTGGACTCAGCTGACCATGGTGGGGAGTGACAGTCTTGTCCTATTGTGCCCAGGGGAGAGGCTTGTGTTGGGAAGGTGAACACAAGGATTCAAACAGCTGGCAGGGAAGTGACAACCCCACTCCCACCCTACCCCACCCCACTCCCGCCACCGCCCCCACCCCCACCCCCGCTACTGTTACCAGAAATGTTTCCCTTTTCCTGTTGTCTGTGTTCTGAGGACAGTCACATCAGAGAGAGGTATTTAACCACTATCCCTCACCCAGCAGCCTTTGGCCTTAAATACATGTCATTAGGTGGTGGGACAAAGCCCGAATCTCCTTCAAAGAGCATAGGGAGCATTCAGGCTCTTCAGTAAAAGTAAAGACCAGAAAAGGTTTGGGACGATAAAATGTCGTCTGCATGTGTTCAGGTTAAGTTGCACCCTGTTTTATGTGGAAGGGGAAGTATTGTAAAAAGGAAGAAAATCTAGACTTTTAGTTTAAATTACATTTAAAAAACAGAAAATTGACACAATTATGGCAGCTACAAAGATCATTTCAGACATATGACAATGACATGGTTTTAGCGAATTTCACAGTTCTGAGTGACTCCAAGGAATGGCAATATTTCCTTTTGTTCTAAGAGCAATTCCTTGGAAATGATCTGCAGATCCTGGAGAGACTGGGATGCCCAGATGCCCAGACTCTGAGGGGCCTCAGAGCTCCCACTCAGCCTCTTGTATTTCAATTATAGTAGAATTGCCAGGACTTACCTTTCCCCTTCTGCCCACAGTCCCACCTGTCTGTGGGGATTACAGCCACTGTGTGTTTGCGATCTTGACACCCTGGTGTGCCTACATTTCCCTCCGTTGTGCTCTTCTCTGTCTGTCTCTGTCTTTTTTTTCTTTTTAACATGCCCCCTACCCTGATCTATCCATGAAATTCACTGTTTATGCAGAACCCATCTACTCTTACTTGGGGAACAGACTATGAGACAAAACCTAAGGAAAGAGAAAGAGATAGGGTTGATGGAGAACCCCAAGAGATCAAGGGAGCAGGAGCTGAGACTCAGAAACAGGCTGACAGGGTCCAGGAACAGCAGAGACTTAGAGAAGCAGACCCAGGGAAAGGGAGCCCGAGACGCAGGAGAGTCTCCGTGGGACCTTAACATGATCACAATGCCTTAACTTCCACAGCAGAGAATCAAACCTGCGGGCTTTCCCTTCAAACTTCAGAATGCTCCTTTCCACCCCAAGATCTTTGTTCTGTTTTTGTTGTTG